TGAAGTCAGTTTGAATAATATTAATTTCATATTATGTTTGGTTGTCGTTATTTCTAATTAGGTGATGTATGATATGTTGATTATTCCATATCTAGCTATTATTTAGCTTTAATATACTAATCGCAAAATCTGGTTATAATATTGTTGAATTATACTGCAGTTTCCGGAAATTATTTGAAATTATGATTTTTTATCCAAACTTATTGACAAAATTATATTGACGATGATTAGGATAGTAAACCCTGACGATTTTTAGTATATTAATTAATCAAAATTAATTCCATGGTCTTTATCTAATTCCTTCGTGCTTGGTTTTATATGTATTATTATAAAAAATACTATGTATTAATAAGTAGGTTTAGATGGACTATCAAGTAGATCGATGGCTTGTGAAAACTATATAAAACAAATCCCCTTCTAGATCGAGAACACATCCTTCTCCTCATTAACCGCTGTGTGGTTCTCATCTTCTCGAGGTTTAGTTTCTAATAAATTCCCCCTTTATTTTGCTGATTTGATCTTTGCATGATTTATTTTTGTGTGCTGTTGAGGTTAGGTCTTTCGTTGTTATCCAATTGACATTGCGTGTGTTCTTTTACGATGTCTTCAGAGTTTATACTTGGTTAGTTTCCGGATGAGGTTTATTTATTAATTTACCGATTTAGCTTTTATGTGGTTATTTTTTGCCATTAAATCTATATATGTTTGGTAGGTATATCTGACCAACAGTTTCATCTCCCTCATTGGTCAAACAGATTGATCCAGTCAAAGTTTATGAGTTAGATGGAATGCAATGAAAATTTTCAGGAAGCAAGGTCCTTGACTTAAGCTGATTTTCTTTTGAACTGGGAGTGGGATGTTAACCGTAAACATTGGAGACGTTCATGTGAGAATTCATCCCGATCAAATCGATTGATGTATTGTGTCGGCATATCCGGAGAGATCTATTATCTTCAACTTTTGTTGTATGTATTCAAGGGTCCACGTTCTTTTGAGGATGTTAGGACTGTCCATGGTGTTGTTTATTCTACGTTCGAGGACGCGTACCGCGCGTTCGGTGTGGATGACAATGACCGAGAGTATGTTGATGCGATTTTTGAAGCAAGTGAATGGTCCAATGTTTATTCATTGCGCGAATTGTTTGTTGTTTTGGTTCATACTGGTCCTTTGGTTAAACCATTGCGATTTCTGGAATTTGTCTCTAGGGTTCTTTTTTCTTGATTGGCGATGTTATACTCAACAATAATTATGTAGTTTTTTGTTTCTTTTTTCTGTTATTACGGCCGTGATTAATATGGGTCTCTGGTTTGGAATACCTTTATTCAGTTTAGTGTATTTGATTTCAGTCTAATATATAATAGGATATTACAAAGTCACATATATTCATCAATTGGAAAGTTTCGCATTTGTGAAATCGAATGAGTCGCGTGTTATTATATTCTAACGCATATTCGAGAATGGTTTAGAAGATGTACCATTATGATTGAAGTGATATCTAGCGTTAAGGATTTAGAAGCGAACTCGAGAAAATTAATACCCTACATATAACCATGCTAACTATCGGACTAGGGTTTTAGCCAGAATATACATTTCACTTTTAAGCGTATTCCATTATTTACACTTTTTATATTTTATTCAAAATAATTACATTTTATTTATATAATCTTCTTTTTAGATAAATATGAACGTGTATATATTTAACTTTTATTTATATAATCTTCCTTTTGGATAAATACGAATGTGTATGTGGATCTATATTCGATAGATTTGAATATCTCGGTTTTATATGTAAATCTTCTATTAAAGGTAATATGCATGTTGTTAATGTTAACCGATCAGAATTTCTATATTGTTGGATACTGTATCTATCTACATATTATTTTATATAAGAGACATTAATTTGTAATCTTTGTTATATATACTCTTTATATTTAGCTGTTTCAGTCTCTATAATAGACATATAATATCCACTAGCTTGCTTTTTGGCATGGAGTCTACGCAAAAAGCAAATCTGTTTGACGCATCTTCTTTTGGTGTTTCATCTTTGAGTCCTGGTTTTGTCGAGACAGCTGTTTTGGTGAAGATATTACGAGCGTGGACTAATTCGTTTGATCCATATGATGTAAGACTGGAATTATTTTTTTTGTGATAACAAGGTTCGTATTGTGTTGTTGAATTAGTGAACTCTGGTGTGTAGTTTTGCATAGGTTGTTATTTCATTATTAATTAAATGCTACGATGCAGGGCATGGAAATGTGTGGTACAGTTCACGCTAATGATTACGATCGATTTTCGCCTCAGTTACGCGAGGGTGTTTAGGTTACAATTAAAAAATTTGTTATTGTTGATACGGATCACCCATTTAGTGTTACGTCTAATCATGTTCACTTGCTTATCGTTGGTCCAACCATTGTTCATATGCAAGATTATCAGTCTGAGCGAAATTTTTTCAAGTTCGTTGACTTTGAGAGGATTCTCAGCAAGGTTCCTATCGGTACTTCTTCGGTTGGTATGTTCATATCCACTTTCTGTAAATTTCGACATTAATATAGTTTATTTTGAATATTGACTGTGTAAATTGTGTGTATTTTAGATTTAATTGGAAAAGTTGTCAATGTTGGAGAGCTGGAAATCTCAACGAGACATTGTGTTAATAAGGGAATTGGTGGATGTGCAATGATAGCATTTGAACTACTGAGTCCCATGTATGTTGTTGTAACTATAATTTCGTTTCTTGGGGTTTTAAATGTTGGTATTTGATTTAACACGCTTGTTTGCATTAATACAGCAATGTTCGTATCAAATGCAAGATGTTTCACGATGATGCTCGCATGTTCCATACTGGTTGGCTTGGATGTGCCAATGATACAGTGATTTTTGTTGCAAGATGGACGATCGTTGATGTCTACGAATGTTTGTACTATTTGATATTTATTTGATATATTGTTTAAAATAAGTCTGTTTTAAAATTCCGGTTACCTATATATAGGTAATATTGTTATATCTTCGGCTCCTCCTACTAAGATCATGTTGGATCCCTGTTTCGCAGAAGTTACCGAATTCAGATCTCTGTAAGTTTATCGATTAGATTTGAGTTTCATCCTGTTCATTGTATTATTGAGTAATAACTTTAAAAATACTTTGCAGGTTAGCAAGAAAACATTTGAGCATCGATGCTGGTTTTGAGTCTGTTAACACTCGGTGCGAAGATTTAAGTTTTTGTTAAAGTGTGATTTTCATTTTTGCGTATGTAATACTTCAGATAATTCTGAAGACAGTGGTATTAATGATTTCATTATTTGCATTAATATATCTATATCTTTCGCGGTGTCTTATTCATTTTATTATAACAAGTCGTGTAATTTAGTAATTTTTCTCCATCTATGGAATTTTGCTTCTTTCGAAAAGGAATATTATACATAATTCATATTTTCGTAATATTTTTTCCAATTATATTTTTAAATTGTCATATAACGGCATAAGGAAATATTCGAAATAGGAAAAAGTATATATCATGGATAAATATTAATTGACTATAAACCCTGCAATTTATGTATATCATAGATATATTCTCTTAGTATAGATATGTACTAATCTTTCCCCAAAAAAAGGATATTATATAGTAAATATTATATATATATATATTTATTTAACGGAGTTTTAGCTATGTTGCTTATTTACTTATTTCTTTTTATATACTAATCCTTTGTTAATAACCGAATTCACTTCGATATTATTAACGTCTACAGATCGAAGAACCCCATGGCTCACTTACTCTCGAGAAGTATTTATCAAAAAATCGACAAGGTTCTCTACAACGTGTCTGAGTTGGAACCGTTCAATCATAGGTGGAGTGCTAGAGTGAATGTTCTCCGTATTTTTCAACACTTGGTCGGTGTCAGAGAGATGACTAACCTTATATTTGTTGATAACAAGGTAAGTGATTGTTTTCTCAGTTATTAAATCTATATGTTTATGTGGTTAACTGTAGATGATTGATAAAAAAAGAATATTAATGGTCGTGATTTTGTAGGGTGATAAAATCCATGCAGTATTATGCGAAGATATAGCGTCTATATTCGTATCGCAGATTCGTGAGGGTGATTGGATTCTGTTGTGTGATTTCGAACTAATGCCTGTTTTTGAAGAGTTTCGACCAAGTATGCACAATTATATGATCCATTGTCTGCCACGTACGGTATTTGTTAAGGCTCCTCCCGCAGAAATTACCAGCCGTTTTTATTTCGTGAATATCGAAGCCATTAAAGATGGACGTATGGATCCCAATGTCTGTATTGGTGAGTTCTATTGGCTGTGTTTAGTTTTGTTTGGCTAATCTTAATTACTCATATAGTGTTTGTATTTCAGACGTAATCGGCCGAGTTGTTAATGTTGGGAATTTTAGAGGACTTCATGCGCTTGGTTTTTGTATGCGAACAAGCATAACTTTTGAACTTGTGGATGAACGATATATTTTTCTAACCTTTATTGGTGCATGTTGATATGATCCATTTAAGATTTTTGGGTGATAATTAGCAATTTATCTATTACAATGGTAACAGTGGCTCACGAGTTCCAGTACTTTTGAAAGATGAATATTCAGAGGATTTTCTCGAAGTTTGGTCGTCATGCAATCAACAGCTTGCTATCTGTATAATGAGGTTTGTATCGATTGTTCGAAGGAATGGTTATTGGAGAGTAGAAACCACTTTTAAATGTTTTATTGGACCCTCCATTTGTAAAAGCAAAAAAGTCTTTGTGACGTAATGAACGATAATAACATTTACTTATTAGTATGACTACTATATTTTGGGATGATAATAACATAGTCGGTTATAATAGTTTTTTTATTTATTTTTTTTTTCTGTTTCTAGACATCATTATTTATTTTTGATCTATTTATTAATTTTTTCTGATAATTTGCGGTCAAGCAAACCACATCAAAATATAAATAATATTTTTTTATATATATAATAGTATTTCAAATACTTCAAATACTCATTCGGTTCTTAGGTTCAAATACCTAATATACTGTAACTTCAAATACTCATTCAGATAACTATAACTACATGATTCGGTTTCGTTTTCTCTCGATTTGGTTTGGTTCTTCAGTTTACGGTAATTTTCCCATGCACACATTGGATGGATACCGATAAAGTATTCTACGTTTCCCGGTATATATATAAACAAAACCAAAACCGGTATCTATCATAACCGCAAAGAAAGTACTGATTCATGATCATTGAAAAAAGCTGACTGGGTCTGCTACAAAGACCAATCTCCTAAGTTACTGTTTCAGGTAGTATCTTGATCTCAGTTTGGCTAAGACCTCTGCATACTCTATTGGAGTTGCATTGTTGCAGAAAACATCCTCCCATATCTTCAAAAGCTCTGCTCCCAAAAGAAATTAGTTAGATCTCAACTACGTTTTCGACGCAAGCTCATTTACACAATCAGATTAGAGATCGTCCACATACCGTTCTTCTCGGTTGAAGTAAGGCACATGACGATCATGTTGAATCTAGGAACCTTTGTTAGGTTCTCAATGTATTTAACAGCCAAATCCGTGTCTTCACTGCAATATTCAAGAAACCATAAGCACCAAAAAAATTTACCAGAGTTTTTAGTGAACTATGAATGCGAAATGGTTAGGTTTACTCACGCGAAAAACGAGGCTACGCATTTGATTATGTCAACCAAAATCGGAGAAGTCAAAGCGTTCTTGAAGATCTGAGGTAAAGAGCTCGGAGTCATAACCTGATACATGTACAAAACCCGATGAGTCGCGCTGTAAATTTGGGGATTTTATTAATTAGTTTCTTGCAGGTAGTATGTCAAAAACCTTCAACAACTGGTTTTGTAACGCACGGTCTCCAGAAAAACTCCGCCAAGAGTTCTCAAACTCGTAAGCAGATTTTGGAGGTTTAATGTTTTTAGAAACTTCAGCCATTGCAAGTGAAGCAGCATGAGCAGCAAGCTCTTGCACTGATGGCTTTAATTCCATCTTTCTAGAAGAAACTTGGTTTCCCTGTAAAATGAGAACGGCGACAAGGTTTTTAGCATCAGTCTGGATTTTGGTGTACTACATCAACCTTTATAACTCACTTAGTACACCAGTACTCACTTGTCCAGAAGATGTAGCCTCCTTTTCATTACTTTGGCTTCTATGCGTCACTTTCTTACTGTCTACATCCTCTATGATAACTGAAATTTTCTTTGAACCTTCTTTATGTTTCTCCTGAAGATGCCACCAAAAAAGAAAGTTTACTTGACAAGTACCATGAGACAAGCTCTCGAAAATTCCATCAGGGTTATTCAAAAGATGAAACTTTACTAGTGAAACTAATTCTACAAACCTATTAGATGTGCTTCCTTGAATTTACTATATATCGAACGATAATAACTTCGGTGTATACCTCAGGTTGTACGCTTTCAATGAGCTTCTTCCCTGAACTTTCCTTGCTACGTGAAACAGGCTGAACCATATCCCCGTTTGTTTTGGCCCCTAGGGTCACAGGCTTCAAATTCATATCTGTACTTGGCGTTTTTGTTTTCTTATCTAAACCCACAGTTTTCATCAGTTCTTGTGCAGTGCTTTGCATTGCTCCAGTGGCTTTCTCTATGATTTCCTGCTTAGATATTAAAAAATCAGCTTTTTGTGAATAATATAGAGTTTATCAGGTAAAAGATACAGTAAAGCCGTAAAGGAGCATATCAAAAACATTACTTTCTCGAGCAGAGATTTGATGTTGGCATATTGCTTCTTAAGTTCCTCGCTCTGAGGCTCTAATCTTAAAGCAAACTCAGCATCTGCAACCAATTTTAATCACCGTAAGTTTCCAGCAACATGTTAGAAGAGTAGAATGAAGTTCATATGTGTGCGAGGGATGATACCTTCCTTGGCTTCTTTAAGCATGCCTAGTTCCTTTCTTGCTGTTGCTCGGCGTGAGTATGCTTTTATGTATCGATCATCCAGATTTAAAGCTTCTGTGCACTCTACCTCAGCCTCTCGATATCTAAAATGAAAAGAACATTACAACGTTAAAAGAAAAACTTTAGAGATTTATCATAAATGAACAAAACCAAGCACAAAGATAATGGAGACGAACCTTTTGATTTTAAGGTAAGCCATTGCTCGATTCGCGTAAGCAACAGCGTTCGGCGATAAAGCAATGCTCCGAGAGTAACAATCGATGGCCTCATTGAACTTCTTCTGCTTGAAATATTTATTCCCCTGTAGTTTTCAAGTATATCCATTATGAGAAGATGGCATTGAGAGGATATCATATCACATAGCTAATCATAGTCAATAGCTTGAAGAGAAGTAAGTACCTGTTCCTTCTCTGAATTAGCATCCAAATGAATATCGTCATTCGATAAATCACTCATAGGACCATACTTTTTTGCAAAGTCATACTGCCCTGAACCACTGGCACTCGGTCTAAACTTCTCACTGTTCTGAAGCTCAAAACAAGAAATCTCTAAGCAAAAGAAAATTAAAGATCAAGTTTACAACTGAGAGTGATTCTGAAAACAGAAGAACGAACCGGATTTGAAAAATTAGAAGGTTGCTGTTTGGTTTTCTTGTCCTTATCCTTCATTGAAAGTTCCCAATCCTGCAAGTCATTCAAAAATCCCTGGAAATCCTGGAAAACAAAATTTCGAATCCAAGGATAAAAAGTAAACATCTAAACCGTTCATAATCTAAAACATCAATACGATTATACGACCAAGATAATGCATACTACAAGTCGTTGTACTAATCTCGATGAAATCCAGATAAGTGGAAGTAAGATACATGAATGGTTTCGATTTTTCCTTCTCAATCCTCAAGTAAACAGAGATTTTAGCGACAGATAACGAGACAGAAAAAGAATCTCCGGTGAAACGAGTAAAAATGGTAACCTGAGTTGGATCGCGGCCGTGTTTGCTCGTTGACCTAGCCATTACTGAGAATCTCCTGCGAGAAAACAGCCGACGAGAAGAGGAGAAGACGATTCTAGAAGAAGAACTCTGAATCAGACTTCAATTTTGAAATATCGTTAAGACGCAAAAAATATTGGACTTGGGTTTAATGATATTGGGCTGATTTCGGGTCGGGTCGGGTCAACTCTATAACCGGGTTAAACCAGCGGGTCGGATCCGATTCAGTTTGTTTCTTGAGGGAAAGGAAATCGCAGAAGCTTTATACAAAGCAAAAAAACATCAGATCTTGAAGAACATAATCTCTCTCGCTTACTACGAATTTTCTGAAAAGATGACTGTAAGTCGTATCGATCTGAATTCTTCGTTGTTCTTACTGTATATGCTTATGATTCTTCTGGGTTTGGGTTGTTGATTAACGCTGATTTTCTTCTCCGAAATCTGGGTTTTTTTCAGTTCACTATTCCGATTGATAACAGAGATGCCTTGAAGAACGCAGAGGCTGATTCACAAAGAACACTGTATAAACTCTCTCTTTCTCTCTTTCTCTTTAGGTATTTTGAGAAAATTTTGAGACTCGGATTTTCAATTGTTAGGGTTTTATGTTGGGATTTTTTTTTTGTTAGGTACCCATATGTTACTGGAACTTCAATTGTTGCAATCAAGTACAAAGATGGGGTTTTAATGGCTTCCGATATGGGAGGTATGTTTCTCTTTTCTGATTTCAGCTGCCTCAGCACTTAAAAGTTTCTTGCTTTTTTTTTGGTTAAAGTAATGGAGTTTGTGCTTACTAGTTTTCACTAGTGTTTGCAATCTATACTGCTTGCATGTAGCGTTTGTTTTGTGTCTCATAGTGTTTATTCAGTTAAATTTGTTTCCTTTCCGTGAGAGATCACGACAATGTAGTGAAAATCAAATCATGTGTTGTAGATTTGCAGTGATTAAGCATGAATCCTGGATAAAGTTCAGAAACTTTGATTAAGATTAATTTTGTTTTAGTAGAAGGTAATCCGATATGTGCTTTTGTGTATACATTCATGAACAGATAGTAATCAGGATGTATGTAATATAAGCTTCGTGCGTATGATTGCTTGTGATTTCGTTTTCTTTAGTGTCTATTCAATCGTATTTGCTGTATGATTAGTAACTTTTGTTATAGTTCTTTAGCTGTTACTGTATTTTTTCTATTCTGCTTGCCAAACGATTTTGAACTGGCTATGAATATGTACCTTATCTTTGTTAATTTTAAGTTTTAGGATGGACGATGAATTGAGGCTTCTTTCATCTATTTGGGTGTGCAATAATATTGGAAAAGTTATGCACTCCTTTTGTTTTCTGCTTTGGTTTCCTCATTGCCATCTATTGTTAATTTAGTCAAGTGATGACAACTGAGCACCAAAGAAATAATCTGATTTAGAATAGTTTAACACCAACTAACAAAATGTAAGAACTATGATTTGTTTATGTGTTTAATTATCTGCACCTAAACCCTAAACCCTAATCTCTTAAATAGCTTGGATTGTTTCTTAAGTGGGTTCCTTTCATTATCTGCACCAGAGAGATGATGTTACTGTGGCTTTGACTCACTTTTAAACTTTTGCGAATCTGCAGGTTCTTATGGATCCACCTTAAGATACAAGAACATTGAGAGAATGAAGGGTATTGGTAAGCATTCTCTTCTTGGTGCCAGCGGAGAAATCAGCGACTTTCAGGAGATTCTACGTTATCTTGATGAGCTCATGTAAGAATCCATTTGATTCAACAACTTCTTCTTTCCTTCTCGTCAATTCTCATGATCTCACGAGCACTCATTTTTACACAGCCTGAATGATAACATGTGGGATGATGGTAACTCTTTGGGACCAAAAGAGGTTCACAACTATCTGACCCGTGTGATGTATAACCGTCGCAACAAGTTTAATCCTCTGTGGAACACTCTCGTCCTTGGAGGCGTCAAAAATGGTGAAAGTTACCTTGGCATGGTACGACTCAGACAGACTCTCCAGTCCCATATAGTTCCTCTTATGAATGTAGTAAATAGTGATTTCAATCTGTTTGGTTCTCTCTATAGGTGTCAATGATTGGTGTTAGCTTTGAGGACAATCATGTTGCAACCGGATTTGGAAACCACCTCGCTAGGCCGATTCTTCGCGATGAGTGGCATGCGGACATGAGCTTTGAAGATGGTGTCAAGCTCCTTGAGAAATGTATGCGTGTGCTTCTTTACCGCGACAGATCTGCTATTAACAAGCTTCAGGTTTGTCATGACTATCAAATTTTGTATACCTCATGAATAAGTAAGTTTTGGTTGAAGCTCTTTGTTTGGAATTTGATAACGGAAACGCATTGAAACTGTTCGATGTGCAGATAGCAAAGATCACCGAAGAAGGCGTGACGGTCTCTCAGCCATACTCATTGAAGACGTTTTGGGAATTCAAGGCGTTCAATAACCCTACTGCTGGTGCTGAAGGCTCCTGGTAAAGAAGCTAAGCAAACCAAATCTCATGCGGAGAACTTTCAAAAAGACATTTTTATTTTATTTTATTTTATGTGATGTTGTTAAAACACTGTACTGTAGTGGATTTTTATTTACCATGGTGGTTTCTTCATGAAACTTCGGAGTTTAGATCAATGACAATTTATGGAGTTTTGATGTTTTTACTGTTTCAGCTAATTTCATGGGACAATATCTTTTTACCGTATCCAACAAATGAGTGTCTGTAAAAAAGAGAAATAAAAAAAAAACGAGGTCACAAGGTATAAAGCTAGGGTTGTAGTACAAAGATTTTTTCAAAAACCGAAAGAGATTGATAATACAAGAATTTTATGAAGGAAAAGTTTGAAATGAAAGATTTTGAAAAGATAAAGTTTTGTTTTGGGTTCTATATAGAGCATTTTCAAGATAGCATATTTATGCATTGATCAAATTATATAAAAGGATTTTAAAATGCTCTAATATGGATAAAACGATTCATTTGAGTATTTTGATAGTCAATAGATCTAATGATAAAGATTCATTTCGGCCAAGTGAGGATAGCGAAGAAATATTAGATCTTGAAATACCTTATATGAACGCTATTGATGGGTTTATGTATCTTGTAAATGATACAAGATTTGATATATCTTTTGCTACTAATTTACTTGTAAGATACAACTCATCTCCTACTTACCGACATTGGAATGAAATAAATTATATATTACGTTATTTACAAAGGTACCGTTGAATTTAGTTTATTTTATTTTAGAAACTCCGAGTTTGGTCTAGTTAGTTTTGCAGAAGCGGGATAATTATCAGACCCGCATAACACTCGATCGCAAACTGGATATGGTTTTACAATTGGAGGAAATGCGTTCGCTTGGCATTCCAAAAAGAAGACTTTGGTTATAACATCTTCAAATTATGCAGAAACTATTGTATTACATGAAGCTTATAGGGAATGTGTATGGCTTAGATCAATAAAAGTATTTGAAGATAATGCTGCATGTATTGCACAATTTAAAGAAGGTTATAACAAAAGTGAACGAACGAAACATATCTCTCCAATAATTTTCTCTTACACAAAAGAGCTCGAGAAAAATCGAGAAGTAAATATTCTAATATGTTCGTTCATGCGACAATACAGTTGATCTATTTACAAATACATTTGCCACTACAGCATTCAGAAAACATATTCATAATATTTGAATGCGAAATCTCCGAAATCTCTAAAGAGAAGATCAGATTCGTCATTTAGAAACAAACGTTACTCCACTATTTTTTCCTCATCATAGTTTTTATTCCAAACAGTTTTTTTATGATAAAATATATTTAGTAATGCCTCATTAATATATTTAGTAATGCCTGGTTAAAACATAAGTGTGTTTTTCTAGACATTAAAAAAATTATTTGATATAATATGGATATTTTCATGTTAATATACATAGTTTAATATTAAAGATGCACAACCGCTTTTCTAGAGGGAAATGGCAGAAATAATTTTTTTTTTGGTCCGATAGGAGAAGTATTAAAGAAGAACTGCTTCACTAAAGTGAAAGAGAACAAATGTTGTTATCGAATTATACCCACTGGTAACAATGTTGTCTTATTATCATATGATCAAACAGGTGATGCCATAACATATTGGTAGGCTTTAACCGCTCCTACAACTGCAGCGGCTGCAACCACCACGGCTACTACACCCTCAACAACTGTCTTCCTCCATAGTATTTCTCTCAGTGAGGCAAACTTGCTATGAAATTCACTTGCACACTTTGCTATATCATTCGCTTTACGATCTTGAGTTTCTGATGTGTTTCCCATAGAAGGCACTGGAGGAGTCGCCGCTATAGCGCTTGTCTTTGGCATTGTCACATACAAAACACCCTTTGAGAACTTTGCACGAATCTCATTTCTTCTGCAGTTTTTTGCAACTTTCGTTTCTTTCCTGAACAGGATTGATTTGGTTTGGTCCACAGGAGAACCTCCTGTTATTGTTAGTATACCATTGTTGTTGATCTGTAGTTTTAGATGATCTTTCTTGAAACCTATACAAATAGCAATTCCATTTTTCAACGATCAAATCTTTAACAATAATATTGTGTTGTGCTATTTTCCGGTTGGGAGAGATAAATCTTGCAATGCTAAGTAGTTTGATATTTTCATTCTTTTCCTACTTGGAGATCATCCAAGAGATTCTTTTGCTTTTATTAGTGAGTTAGAAATAGATATTTTTATAGAGTTTTATTTAAGTTGAAAAAAAATCAGAATTTATCATAGAAAAACTATTATTTTGTAACCTAAGAAAATATTATATTTTCAATACTTTGGTTTGTTATAAATTTCTAGTATTAAAGTACCTGGAGGAAGATGTAGCTCAAGAGTGTCGATGTCTTCCGATCTCCTCCATCGACAAAAGGGTTCGATCTCCTCGTAAAAATGCGTTGATCTATCTTCCATAATTACGGCCATTTGTTTACAATGCCAAAGAACACAGCAAATATACAAACTATTACAGGAAATCTCTCTATTGTTTCTAATTATATTGGGAAAAGGAAGGGAGGATTGGTGATCGTGAAGATAACCCATGTAATCAATTCTGTTTATATTCTCTCTGCCGCGCAAGGAATTTGGATTTCCTATGTACTGAATGATTCGTTTATTATCCACGAAGATTTGCATTATATTGCTTCGTCAGGAGGTGTCGTGATTACAGTGGAGCCAAAATCTAAAATTAAAACCATCTTTCCCTTGCTCCAATGTCTACTTTTTTCTTCTTATTTTAATTTTGTTGATTGGTATGGAAACTTGCTCCGGTATGACTCGGTAACTCCTAGAGTCGACTCGTCTATGCAGATCCGACTATGAGCTCGCTTCAGATCTATCCCCACTTGGAACCAAAGCTCTACTAGAAATGAGATTTCATGTGGCCGAATCAAAAACTAGAACAAACCGGAGACAAGATCAATGATCTTCAGCGTTCTTGTGTAGACTGCATCGAGAATTGATAATGTGAAAAGAACAAGGAATTCACCGGTAGATAATCACAATCAAAAGGATGTATCAAAACATCAACCAAAGTAGAAGGAAGCTAACCATTTTCAGACTTGCAGTTGCTTCATGCAAGTTCAAATCGATTGTGAAGCCGATGAGATCCATTTCTATAAGATTAAATAAAACAATTAAAAATCATACTTCTATAAGAATGGTTATTAGTCTAGAAATTTTGCTGCTACTGAGAGAGTACTCTGTAGTAAAAAGTATACGTTTCTTCTTCATAAAAAGCCTTTGGTGTTTATGATGATAAAAATCTTATCAAAGCAATTTGAGTTTCAGCAGATTTATAGAGAGAGATCACAAGCAAAAAAGGAAAGCTGTTTATTATTATTTTTTTTGCTTTTTCTTTCTTTCTTCATACATCATGCACTTAAGCTGACTCTCAGATTCGTTGAAGTGAAGCCAATCTCTTTTCAAACTCATCCACTTCACTTGATTCAGAGCTGCAAATTAAAAAATATACAGAACATTTTACTTAATTATTTCACTACAATGTTCAATGACCAAACAGGAGGAGGAATGTTGGGTTTAGACATGATAAAGTAGCGATCTTTCTTCAGTCTAAACACTCTCTCTCTCACTATTAACACTTGTGTGTAAGAAACTTGAGCAAGAAACAGAGTTGTTGTTTGTTTGTTTGTTTGTTTGAGAAGACTTAAAGTAAAGAGCTTGAAACGTAAAGACACAGGGAATTAACGAGTTCGGACCCTTGGGAGAGATCCTACATCTCGCCGGAGAAGGTCTCCGGAAAATCCACTAAGAACTTAGCTCAAACCGAGCTCTTAATCTTTTTACACTTCTCTCTCTCTGCTCTGTTTCTCACACTTATACAAGCTTACTCATTCAGACATGTCTTATGTCCTTTATATTTACAGAACCAACTTGGTAACCAAAATGAAACTAACTTTACGCTTGAGTTAATCTTTGGTTACTTTTGTTCCTTTTGTCTTATTGATCCCAAGAGCAAACGGTTAGTTGCAGGTCTGCTTTCTTTGTCTCCTCTTGGTGCATCAATACAGAGTACGGTTCTGTTGCCGTTGCAGAGTGAGAGAAATCACGTGTTTTGTGAAGATCATAACCTTATCTTTAGAACACTCTGTCTCATCTTGAGTCTTCCTTGTTTTCTCCTTCCATCGAAACCTTCTTCATGAGACCAAGTCTTTAACCATGCTTAACTCAGCTTCAGAATAATCTCATCAACGGACTGTAACAAATCAGAGAAAAAACAGAGCTTAGGATTCAAACTAACCTCCACAAGGAGGAGCAGCGGTTTTTGTAGTGATCCGACCTTTTGGACAAGACCTGATCTGAGATGCAACTCCAACACCAATCTCATCAATAACTTGGTTAGTGAGGTCTTTTGTTTCTTCTTCAGCCTCATCTTTGTCAAGTGTTTCATTAATTATCGCTGACATCATCTCTATCCGCAAATACAACAAATATCACATAGCCAAATCCTCTAAAATAGAAAATGTGTTTGCCTGAGAGAACATTGGTCCCAAAAAATCTAAACTAAGCTCTTAAGATAAAGAGAAGTAATCGTTCTTTGTGAATTGATAAGAGACTGCCGGAAGCCAAAGTGAACATTATGGAATTTTTCATGTAACGTGTTTTTCCTATTGCTGGCTGGACAATAAAGGTACTTATGATATATGAAAAATTCCATCAATGGAAAGTTTAAAATAGAATAAGATGCTTCTACTAGAATTTTAGAGCAGTGATTACCATTTAGATTTGAGGTCAGATCTTTTTAACGCTGGAGGAACCTGATATTTATAATCATTTAGGTTTATTTATTAAAGTCATTTAGTATTTTGCAAAACTCATGTCGTTTTCTTATAACCCAAAACGCACAATTTTAATTTAATTTTGGCTGTTATGGATTTAATAGTACTATAGACAGAAACATTTTTTCATTAACAGATTTTATAGTTGAAGGTTTTGTACATTAGTCTATAGTTGAAATGTTTATTTCTGATTCATTTTTAGTTGAGAATTTTTGTTTACTAAATACCTGTAAAAACTCAAGTTCAATCTATAAAAGGAACTAGGGTTTGTGGGTTAAAAAGAGATCTTTATTAGAAGAAGCTGGAGCTTGACAGAATACACAGTGAGTTAGGTTTTCGGAATAAGAACACCGACTTAAACTTTTTAGGAAAGTAAACCGAGAGCTAGAACAACAAGATATGCTTGGTTTGCCTTAGGTCTCGAGAGGTGATTTTCGGATGATTTGAGAAGTCGAGGACCTCCCATATTTATAACTGATCAGATCGGTCTTCAATGTATGTTGAAAAAGGAAAGTCTTTCGGCCGACACGACCTAACTTCCCTTTTTCTCGGGATTGGTAGATAAATGGAAGATTTCCATTTATTATGCCGACCTGAACCTTGTAAATGGGCCGACCAGGATTCATATCGGGCTTGTAGAGATGGTACGAATCTCATCTCTAACAGTAAGTCCCCCCCCCCCCCCCCCCCCCCCCTCGGCAAGTGAGGGTGCGCTACTTGGCGAATTTCATGAAGTGCTGCTCGGTATGAATTCTGGTTAGCTGCAAAAGAGTTAGAACATAAATTGAAATTTTACCTAAAATTTCTAAAATTTCTGATCGGCGCGATGACGAGGGTCAGATTGTGAATCTAGGCGCAAAAAATTGTCGCCAAAAGGTGAAGTAGACTAGGCATAGGTCTGCGCATGCAGAACTAGGTTTGACACGTGTCAAATGCTAGGAGGGGGTAAAGAGGCCGATTAAAATAAAATGAGAAGAAATGTGAAAGGTCACCGAGCTTATGATGACTCTCGATAACCGTCCAGACTTTTCTATAAATAAGGGGGACTCGGCTTCCATTTTTTCACTTCTGTATTTCTAGCGAAACTCTGTCAAAATCAGGTTTGCTCCCTTCTCTCTCTTCTCTGTTCTTCATTTATTTTAGCTAGAAATTTCTGGTTAGACCTCCGCCGCGTTTTGTTCGGTCTCTGCCGCGTGATTTCTCCGATCAAATTCGAAGTGACCGTCAAAACCCTAATTCGTGATGAGTAAGAGTTTGAGTATCAGAGAGGGCCGATCAGAGTCAAAGAAAATCAGGTCGGCTCAGGAGAAAGCCGATGAGGTCGGCGTTTCTTTGGAGGAATTCCTTCAAATTGAGAAAGATGACCAGACCGTGAGAGGCCGATCGAAGGGGAAAGAGATCGTCGCCAACGAATCAGCGTCAGATCGGTCCTCCGATGCTAGCGAATTATCTGCGTTAGATCGGGCTTTCCAGGAACGAGTCAGGAAAGAAAATCAGAGGGCAGCGGCCGAGCGCTTCCACGCCGATCAGGTCGGGGCTATTTTGAGGAGTGGAGAGGCATCGACCAGGGAACCGTTACTGATCCCCGAGTTGCGGGACGAATCAGACGAGAGGGGTGGATCAAAAGGGATGGATATCTCCGACGAACTGAATACGCTTATTGTTGAAGACGAAGCAAACCAGTTTGGGATTGTCGATCTGAATCCCCCCCCCCCCCCCCCCCCCCCCATTAAGAAAATTAAGAGGAAGAAGGGTGAGCCAGCTCCGAAGCCGATCTGTGATAATCTCCTCGGAGTAATGCCGATCAAGTTGACCATGGAGTCCTTGGTTACGCTGAAAGAGCAATGCGATATCGGCCCTGAGGTCATTGTCATGGTACCGAGTCCATCAGAGCGGCCGTGGGATGCTCCGGAGGGATGGTTCTGCGTCTATGAATGTTTCTTCAAGGATTTCCATCTCTGGTTCCCTCTTCCAAGGCTGCTGCTGGAGTTTTCTGACCACAAAGAGATGCCGATTTCGCAATTCTCTCATTCTACGATTCGCCTAATCATTAGTATGCTGGTGATGTCGACCATGCATAATATTCCTCTCAGTCGTGCTGCGTTTGATGCAATGACGAACACCAGGAGGACGAAGGAGAAGTTAAGGAACTGAGGGTCATACTACACGACCATGAAGACCCGGTTCAATATAGTTACCGGTGGTCAAAAATCGAAGGTCAACGACTGGAGGGATTATAATTTTTTTGTGCTGATCAACGAGTTCTCCGTCATTGATCGAGATATCGAGATCCGAACGAAATGGGCGGAGGTCATGGGTAAAGATAAGCCCATCCTAAAAAAATTATTATAAATTTTTTTGTAAATTTTCTGATCGGTGTCATGGATTTTGCATGCAACAGGCATCTTCCGATCGTTGACGATCCCCTCAATATATACGAGATCTTCGAACGGTTCGCGGTAATTAGTGCAATCACCTGACCTGAGATTACTGAAGAGAGGATCGAGAGAACCAGAGGTTGATTTCGATTGTTTTCCCAAGTGTTTAATTTTTTAAGGAATCAGATCGGCTAACACCCTTTTCTTTTCAGTTGTTCTTCTTCGACATCAGAACCGTACCAACAAGATGAAAGCTCGTTCGTTCAAAGATATGTCGACCGACCTAGAATCGATGTTTGAATCTCCGGGTGCTAAGGAGGCCCAAAATACTACGTCGGCGGGGCCTTCGAAAGAGCACGGGACTCTAGTCGTATTAGAAGGTGGTCCAGAAGATGACCTGGCTAAGGCCAAAGCGGCAGACGACAAAAAAGAGAAAGATCTGGCCAAGGCAAAGAAATCGTCCGATAAGAAAGCTGCCAGGAAGGCAAAGAAGACCCGAAAGAGGGCCGACCTGGAGGGGCACGCGCAAGGCGCGGAAGAAGTTCCCAAAAACATGCAGCGGTCGAAGAGATCTTGCATCGATCGACAGCTTCATCCGTTTGGTTTTTCCTATGATTATCGAGGAAACGGCCCGTTGGTGTCTGACCCTTTCTCCTGCCTCGATTACTTCTTAAGGTTGAAGGATCATCCAGCTCTTCCTCCAACGGACCTTCGGAGCTTAATCTGGAGCGACGCGATCGCGCAATTCACCAATGATCAAGCTAAGGTAAGAAATTTATAGCTGATCTGCTTCCAGGTTTGATGATGTTGATTCGAGATCGATTCTTATGAATCTAATTTTTCATGTGTCTAGGCTCTGAGTACTGTACTATTAGTCATGAGTGAGTACGATCGTCACGCTAAGAAGTGTCAGGTCGATCAGGCCGAAAGGGAAGCTGTAAAGGAGGCTCTCGAGGCCGAAAGGAAGAAAAAGGCCGAGATGGAAGTCGCGCTCCAAGCATCTTCAGAGGAATTGGCGAAGATTCGTGCCGATAACTCGGAGAAGACCAGACTTCTCAACCGAGCCGTGAGACAGATCATGAGGGAAAGGGAGAAAGCCAAGGAGAAGGTTGATGCCGAGCTGAAAGCGGCCGAAGAAGAGAAGCTTAATTTTAGCTATGAGATGGCCAGGCGGGCGGCTACCAAGGCAAACAACCACTATGCGGGCCTGGTTGCAAAAATGAAGGAGTCTTTATCCCGGAAGAATAAGGCAGATGAGCCAATCTCGACTGCAGCCCTGTGGACTGGCGCAAAGAAGGCTCTCGGCATTATTCGCAGACAAGGGTATCAGTTCCCAAATCTGGTCGAGGAGAATGTGGATAAGATGATCCCCAAGAGCAAGGCGAATCAAGACGCCTTTGAGGAAGTTAACTTCACTTCTTGAAGAGTTTCAAATCCCAGAGCCGGAGATCTTTTTGGAGGTATCGAGTGGGGTTGTATCCGAGGTGGCCAAGCAAGAAGAGGCCGAGCAAGAAGAGGAAACAGCAGATGGCCAACACGACGATCAGCCTAATGATCAAGAGGCCGAACAAGACAGCCAAGATGACGAGAAGGCTGGTGGTCGAGAGACCGACAAAGAAGAGGGGGAGATCCAGGAAGAAACTGAAGATTAGTTTTTCTTTGTAATCAGATGTAGACTTTAATGTATTTTGTCCGCCGTTTGGCGTTTTTAATTAATGTAAAAGTTTGGTTATTTGAAATCTGAACATAAACTGCGATTCGATATCGGC